AGGTGTATGTGGCTGGCGCCTTAGCCGCTTGAGCCACAGGCACCGAGCCGGGTCCTCAAACTTTTTAAACAGGGGGCCAGTTCACTGTCCCTTAGACTGTTGGAAGGCTGGCCTGCGGGCCCCAGGGATGAGTCTAAGCAGGACAGGCAGGGGCGGCAAAAACACCCAGTGGGCCGGATAATGTTCTAGGCAGGATGCATGTGGCCTGCCGGCTGTAGTTTGAGGCCTATACCTGCCCTATACCATCACCCAGGGACTAATTCCCACATGTGAATTTGGGGACACACATATATTCAAACCATAACAGTAATCAAGTATGCAGATAAAGTACGAACTTAGTCTGTGCCAACGTTTATTAAGAGCAGTACCAGAAAAAGAGCTACAAGAACAATAAGGAAAGGATGTATTTCTTCTGGGTAACCCAGGGAAAAGGATATATGATGAGACTGAAAAATAGGAGGTGGCAATGAAGACTGAGAATAGAAATTAACTGAGATTTGCACTGTGGAAGGAGTGATAGAAACAAGAGCTTTCAAAGCAGCGGCTGTCGGTGGAGAAGGCAGCTTTGGATTTGTCCATTAGGAAGTCATCAGAGCTGTGTCAGAGAGGAGGTTCAGGAACACATTCAAGGGGAACTTGCAGCTACAGAGGCACATTAAAGGCAGCTCTACACTGCTTTTCTTTTTGAAGCTAAGAGAAAATGAAAAATAACTTTTTAGAAAACAGAGAAGAAAATTCTGTCTTTAATAAAACAGGTAATAATCTTAATCACAAACTATGAAGAATAGCTACTGAATACAGGGAATATTCAGATTTAGGTAATCCAGATATGGAGACTGTATTCTTGTCTCACTCACGTATGCTATGGAGGGCTCCCAAGGCAGGTGGCATGGTCCTGCGGGGTACGATGAAGAATATCTTACCCAGAGTGGTATTTCTGGGAAGTTAAAGACTGAGAAGCAATCTCTAAACTCCATCTCACTCTGATCACTGGAAAGAGGCTGAAGATTGCAGGAAAAAGTGCAGAGATCAGCCATTGTCGTGAGAAATTGCAGCCAGTACATAGTGGATGACACATCAGCAGAACTTTGCTTTACACATGGTTGTCTGGTTTGGCCAAGTCGTCTCTCTACACAAAGTCTGTCATCTGTTGCTAAACTTGAGCCACGGTGAGATCCTGCTCTACTAATACAACAACGTAAAGGACTGAGCCCTACCAGGTGGTTAAATCTCCTCGTACCTCCTGGATACCTCGGTCGTGCTTTTGTTTTATAGAACTCTTTACCTCTCAGAACAGTTGAAAACACATTATAGAAAATGCTATACAAGAGACAACAAACTCTGACTGGAGTAAAGGAATACCTCAGAGTTAAGAGTAAAAGTAAGTTGATTTTTGGAAGAGTGCACTAAAGACAGAAAAGGATATTTCAACCAGAAAGAAATAACTGCATCTAAGGAAAAACACGAGGTGAGAGGCAGACAAATTCCCAGGGTGAATTTAAGACTGCTGGATGGTTGTTGCACCTGTGGGGAGAGAGAAGACCCGTAATACAAACCCCCAAGTTTGGCCCGGGCCAAGTTGCAGTGACTCTTCTGTGTTATGTAAAAACTTCATCTTTTTCAGAGATCCATTAAAAAAGGTCTTTTTTTTTTTTTTTTTT